CCAATCAGGCAAATGGAAATTCGCTTAGTCTGCAGGTTTGCTGCGGCGGGGGTATTATATAGTACAGATTCAAGATTGAATCTCTACTATTTTGTTTTTTAGATTTATTTTTTTTTATTTTTTTTTTATAATGGTAATATTAGTTTCACCAGCTTTAGTGCGCTTCTCTAGATCCTGCCTCAATCGTTTCAAGTATAGAAGTTCACGATCAGTCCTATCCCTAGTGATGCCAATAGTTGAAAGTTCTGGATTGGACTTTTGAAGATCATCTTTACAATCAGTAAACAATTCAAGAAATTATTTAACATCTTCCGGACTCTTAAGAATAATATTCAATGGTCGTATTTTGTCTTTAATCTGCTTCCCAACTCTGTAAAGTTTGAAATCTTCAGCACCATCAGCATAATTAATTGCCCACATCAAATCTTTAATCGGATTTTTAGCGTCAAGACATTGAACTATTATTGTGAGGTTTCTGATTTCTTTAAGCCAATCGTTCGGTTGATGGCTTTTGACACAGCCAGCATGCATACATTGCCAAATAAATTTGTCGTCATTTGCAAGACAAGTATAATCAGAGGTACTTATTATAGCACAAGCCATGGAACCATCTATTCTATGCTGTCTGCCCGGCATTGCGCTCCTTGTTGTCGAGCCGTGATCTCTTTTAAACAGATCCCGCATGGATGAGGAACGGGAATAGCCTTGTTCGGCTGAGCGGTACGATGTCATAGCTTATAATTGCGAATTTGTTGCATAACTTATAATCTTGAAAATGTGGCATAGCTTATAATTAGAAATTTAAATTGTTCCATAGCTTATAATCGTAGACATGTGGCATAACTTGTAATGGTATGGTTCAAATGTGCTGCAGCGTATAAAATCTTGCGTATAATTTTCAAAATGTGGCATACCTTATAACACGTGGGAATGACGTCATGGTGGATGGAACAGCTGATCGATCCTCAGTTGTCTTGTCCCATCAGGTGTGCATCTGGGGCAGGACGCATGACTGGGATCGCTGGGAAGTGGAGGTGTCCGGCTTCTGGAGCACCGTCATTTCCTCTGTGACCATGGTCCAGCGGTTTCACCTATCCTCAAAGTGACATGGGCCATTGAGTCCAGGAAGGCTGCAATTGACAACCTCCCATGGTCAAAGTTGGTGGTAGCGTTATCAATCGCTCTGTCCCTTTTACGATCCCTTCTCTACCTTGGTCGCACATTGGGGATGTTCCGCCTCAATCTCAATAGGTCTAGGTGTTGTTGCTGTTCAATATCTCGCAGAACAGCTGTTTTTAAAATTTTATGTTAGATTAAAAAACGGCTCACACATATTTATTCATCCTAGGACTATAGACTGGAACTGTTTTCAATATTACTTAGGTCTGGCACTAGTAGGTACTCATATTTAAACACTTTCCCCTCTTTTTCCAAACCATTTATCTACTGGGTCATCTTGAGCAAAGGGTGGCAAAAGCTGAAAGATAGTTTTCTAAGTTTATATAATTTATAACACACCTAGTAAGACTATGGCCAGCATACACAATTTCACAAAGATGTTTTTATAGAATATTATCATAAAACAAATGTAAAAACACCTACCATGAAAATCCCAAACTGTGGGATGTTGGCCCATTTTCCTTAAAAGATAGCTTTGAAAGCCTTCAAGTGCCTTGTTTGTTCGATGGCACTCGCGATAAACTGAAAATCATCCATGCCAACTGTGTTGACCCTATAGCCTTCCATGTATCTGGAAACCATTTTATGTCCATCTCCAATTATTATCTATGATAACATTCTCATCCAATAACATTTGCAATTAATAATCTGAATCTGAAATGGTGTAGCACATCAATATGCAGGTATTAATAATTTTTAGGCGTTTTAGCAAACTTCCCATAGGGAATAAGCTATTACAATAGGTCTCACGGTAAGACTTCGACCTGGCACCGATTTACTTTTTAGTTTTGATGTTCCCAGAGACCAAAACACTCACCTTTAGGTTGGAGCTCGTTCGCTGCGCTCACTTACCTTCAGGTTAGCTCGTTCGCTACGCTCACTTAGTAGATATAATATGATGGTATGAAGGCAATTGGGGCGTTTTTCTTCATAAGAATAACATGGTGGGCATTTTTTGGCCACCAATCCTAAAAATCCAGCCCACGGTCTATACAAGCCTATATTAATGTTCAATACCATTGTACAACTTCATTACTATTTCAAATCCACATGCATTCACATGTATATTCTCAAAATCATCAACTTGACAGTGCGAGGTTTGCACGTGCTCCCGGCTCACGGCGCGCTCCCTTGGACATCCTTAGTGGAAATCCATGAATTCTGACTACTTGGGAACCCAAGCCATTTGACATACAATAAATCACCCTTCCTCCTAATTACCTTTTCTATTAAATACATGTCTTTATATTTGGTCTTTAACAACTCCTCTGTATAGAAGCCTCCCCTGATTATATTGCCATTTTCATCTTTCAAGATATAAGTCACAGGCTTTGTATTCTTAACTTCTGCTATTGTAAATAGCTCACCTGTCCAATTTGGGGTATAACCTTTACTAAAAACATGTTTATACTTGGAAATTCTCACGCTATCACCCACCTTATATCTTGCACTACTTTAGAAGTCAACCTCTCATGCACATATTTACTATTCTTAATATTCACTTGGTTAGGCTTCATACCTATAGATCTATGCACCTTATTATTATATTTTCGAATTAACTTTGGAAGTAAATCCAACCATTTATAACTCCCCTGAGCACTAAATTCCCTATACAACCAATTCTTTAAAGTTCTCTGAAACCTCTCCACAATTGCAGCCTTAGTTGTAGAAAAAGTGTGATAGTGATTAATATTTAAGTTTTTCATTAGTTTGCTAAAATATTGATTAAAAAATTCTTTTCCATTGTCAGATTGAATGTTTTTAACCCCCTTTGGTAGAATGGTTTTAATGGCTTCTGTAACCACTAACCCTGTCTTATGCTTTAGTGGAGCAGCATAAGCTTTTTTAGAAAATGTATCTATTAAAGTTAAAATATATTTATTGCCAGAATTCTCTCTAGCATAGTTTTGCATATCAATTAAATCTATTTGTACGGTTTCGTTTATACCCTATACTTTAAAAGACCTTCTAATGAAATTCTTTCTTGCAGGCTTATGAAGTTCGTATGCAATTTCATTCATTTTTTATAACATCACTCTTTCCTTGTACTGTAAATATATTACCATTAGCCCCAATCAATAGATTATCTTCCATTCTTTTAAATACATAGTTTTCTGGTATATATGGTCTATTATCTATATACTTAAATCCGCTCAAAGATGTAGGGTCGGCAACTAATAAATCAGGATTGTATTCCATCAAATTAAATTTTCTTCCTCCATATACAAATTTTGATCCATCATAATACATAGCTTGTGACATTAAACAAATATCATCTAAATATTCTCCCATTGGTAGATTTCTTATATATTTTTTTTTGGCATCCCAGCATTTTTCTTTTTTATCAAAAGTTATAGTCTGTTCTTTTGTAACACAGTCAGTGTCATCAATGGCAGGTTTAACACGTACTAACCTTTTATTATTAAAATCCCAATAGCCTGCTTCCATTTTTGGAACTTGTGAAACATTCACAGCATCTTTACTATCTGTACCTTCTATCAAATCGCTAAGTTTCTGTTTCTTAGCATTCCAAACACCATTCTCAGATTCTAAAAATTCATAATTATTATCGTCTTGTACAAATTTACCATCTTCTTTTCGTATTAAAGTCTGTTGTAAAGTGGGCACATCATTTAAACTTTCACCCTTTTCCACATTAGTAATTTTCCGTTTCTTAGCATTCCAAACACCATTCTCTGATTCTAAAAATTCATAATTATTATCTAATATATAAAATTCTCGTGTCACAGTGTTTGTCTGCAAACTCCTCCGGAACGACTTCACCGATCGTTATGAAATTTGGTGTGTAAATTCTGTAGGTATGCGAATCGGACGTAAACTATTTCCCGTTTCGAAATTCTTAAAAGGGCTCCGCCCCAGTGGCTCTGGAGTTTCCCATGTTAACCTTATGAGAAATGGAATTAATGAATCTTAACAGCTGTTTCAATTAAACAAGTTGGTTCTGTTCTATGATGTTCAATAGCATTAAAGTTACAAGGATTACCAACAGGGTGCAGCACTATTATTTCTTTTACATTTATGACAACAGCTAATTTGCAACCAAAAGGTGAGTGAGCGTAGCGAACGAACTTCAACCTGGAGGCGAGTGAGCGTAGCGAACGAGCTAACCTGAAGGCAAGTGAGCGTAGCGAACGAGCTAACCTGAAGGAAAGTGAGCGCAGCGAACGAGCTCCAACCTAAAGGTGAGTGAGCGTAGCGAACGAGCTCCAACCTAAAGGTGAGTGAGCGTAGCGAACGAGCTCCAACCTAAAGGTGAGTGAGCGTAGCGAACGAGCTCCAACCTAAAGGTGAGTGAGCGTAGCGAACGAGCTCCAACCTAAAGGTGAGTGAGCGTAGCGAACGAACTTCAACCAGGACGTGATTGAGCGATGCGAACGAGATCATCTTGAAAATTAAACGTAACGGTACTTTCTTTCCATCGGTCTGTCTTAGGGGAAACCTATAACTTAGGCGATACGAAGTTCGCCGGGTCAGCTAGTTGTCTTATAAAAATGTACCACCGTCTTTACGTATTAAAGTCTGTTGTAAAGTGGGCACATTGTGATAGAAAATATTCCCAGCTGTTGTTGGACATTGTTATTTTATTTGTTTATGTTGAATGTTTGTAATCATTATTTCATTCTCTAGATTTAACTCTTACTTATGAATTCCATTACTTGAATTGTGTTAAATAAAGCCTACTCATTCAAGGCAAACAATCTTTATTCTTCAACAATTTATTTAACACAATATCTGCAATCATGGAAAAACATTTTGCTCCAGCAAAACTTTCAATAGATCCAAACTCTTCAACAGCAGCAATGGAATGGAATCACTGGCTCAGGACATTTACAAATTTTATTGAAGTGACAGAAGCAAATGAATCTGAGAAATTGAAACTTCTAATCAACTATGTGGTGCCTTCAGTATATACTTATATCAGTGAATGTTTGAATTTTAAAGATGCAATTGGTAATCTTCAAAATCTATATTGTAAGCCAGTGAACGAAGTATTTGCTCGCCATAAGTTATCTACTCGTCAGCAACAACCAGGAGAATCAGTTGACCAATATCTAGAAGCTTTAAAGATACTCAGCAAAGACTGCAATTTTAAAGCTACTTCTGCAGAAGAAAATAGAGATGACTGCATTAGAGATGCATTTGTAAATGGTCTGATTGCTCCACACATTCGCCAGAGACTGCTAGAGAACTTTAAGCTGCCTCTTCAAGATGCTTATGAACAGGCCCGTTGTTTGGAAAGTGCACAACAACAAGCCCTCCTATATCAACCCAGCTCAAATCTCAATTCAGTTTTAAAACAAGAAAACTCAATCGTTCAAGACGATGATACAAAGAATCCAACCATAGCCGCTACTTCTGGGAGTAATAATAGATGTTTCTTCTGTGGATTCAATAGACATCCAAGAAATGACTGTCCCGCAAGAAATTCTTACTGTAAAGGTTGTGGTAAAAAGGGTCACTTTGTTAAGGTATGTAAGTTTTCCTCTCAAATAGATAAATCAAGTTTTGGTCAAAACTCAAAAATTAAACATACAACTTCATCTGTCATAAGCCACATAAGTTGTTCTTCAAGTTATCCCCTAGGTCTTTCAAAAGCTATTGTCCCAGTTAATGTAAATGGTAAAGCAGCTCAAGCCCTAATTGACACTGGTAGTACCACTAGTTTCCTGAGTAGTGACTTAGTAAATCAGCTGAAAATAAAAACCTATCCTTCTAAAATCAGTCAAGTATCAATGGCGGCTTCTGAGTTAACTTCTAAAACTAAAGGTGAATGCAAAGTTAATTTGAAGATTCTTGGTAACTCATACAAAAATGTGATTTTGTGCATTTTACCCAACCTCTGTTGTGATTTGATAATAGGTCATGATTTACTCAGTCGCCATTCTAAATTAGAACTCACATTAGGTGGACCCGAATCTCCTCTTACTATAGTATCTGTAGCTGCTGCAAATGTACCACAAGCTTCACTATTTGAGCATATTTCACATGATTGTCACCCTATTTCTGTGAAATCTCGCCGTCATACAGTAACAGATTATCAGTTTATTTCAGAAGAAATTCGCTCACTATTGCATGAAGGGGTAATAGAACCAAGTATATCTCCATGGAGAGCTCAAGCTTTTGTTACCAGCTCCGAAAACCATAAGAAGCGTATGGTAATAGACTACTCTAACACTATAAACAGATTTACAAGTCTCGATGCTTATCCAATCCCAAATCTTGAAGAAATTGTCAATAAAGTTGCTAACTATGAAGTGTTTAGTGCCATTGATTTAAAAAGCGCTTACCATCAAATACCGATCAAGGCTGAAGATAAGCCTTTTACAGCTTTTGAAGCATGTGGTCAGCTGTATCAATTTACCAGAATTCCTTTTGGGGTGACAAATGGAGTTGCTGCATTCCAGAGAGTTATTGATGACATAATCAGGGCAGAAAATCTTAATGACACATTTGCTTATTTAGATGACATAACAGTATGTGGTAAAACACAAGAGGAGCATGATAGGAACCTAAACAGGCTGATGAACGCTGCTAGCAAGTATAACTTGACTATTAATGAAAATAAATGTTCTTTTTCAATGAAATCTATTAGTCTCCTTGGATATACAATAAGCAACAAAACCATTAAGCCAGATTCTGATCGGCTTTTACCTCTAAAGAATTTCCCCTTGCCCACAAACGCATCATCCCTAAGAAGGGCAGTAGGAATGTTTTCCCATTTCTCAAGATATGTCCCACGATTTTCTGAAAAGATTAAAGTTCTGACAACCAGCTCTTTCCCTTTATCCGCAACGGCTATAAAGGCATTTAATGAACTGAAACAAGAGATTGAAAATGCCTCAATGAGTCCCATAAATCCTGATCTACCCTTCACTGTTGAGACTGATGCATCTGACACTGTAATAGCAGCAACACTGACCCAGGAAGGAAAACCTGTAGCCTTTTTCTCAAGAGGTCTGTCTCATAGTGAACTAAAGCACAGTTCGGTTGAAAAGGAAGCATATGCAATCGTGGAGTCAGTACGAAAATGGAGACACTATTTGCTAGGCAGACATTTCAAACTAATAACAGACCAGAAGTCTGTCTCTTTCATGTTCAACTCTAAGATATCGGGGAAAATTAAGAATGACAAAATCATGAGGTGGAGACTAGAACTATCAAGCTATAGTTATGATATTGTTTATAGACCTGGTAAACTGAATGTAGCTGCTGACTCTCTATCACGAGTGTGCTCGATGAGCGACAAAATGAACAGACTTCATCAATATCATGAAAGAATGTGTCATCCTGGTGAAACTCGTATGTATCATTGGATAAGAAGCAAAAATTTACCATACTCCCTTGATGAGGTAAGAAGAATGACTGCTTCCTGTAAGGTATGTTCTGAAGTAAAACCAAGATTCTTCAAACATGATGGAAAATTAATAAAAGCAACATCACCGTTTGAACGTCTTAGCCTGGATTTTAAGGGTCCTCTTCCCTCTTCTACAAGAAATCGGTATATGCTAACAATCATTGATGAGTACTCACGATTTCCATTTGCGTACCCCTGTCCTGATATGTCCTCTTCGACTGTTATTTGCAAACTGAAACAGTTATTTTCATTGTTCGGTACTCCTAGCTACATTCACTCCGATCAGGGATCTTCTTTTCTTTCAAAAGAACTAAAGGAGTTTCTCGCTTTAAACGACATTGCTTCTAGTCGGACTACTGCTTACAACCCTCAGTGTAATGGCCAGGTTGAGAGATATAATGGTATAATCTGGAGAACAGTAGAACTTGCCCTTAAGAACTATCAACTTGACGTGACAAAGTGGGAATTAGTTCTGGATGAAGCTCTTCACTCTATCCGATCCTTGCTTTGTACTGCCACGAATTGTACGCCACATGAACGAATGTTTGGACATCCCAGAAGATCACAAAATGGTGTTTCCACACCAACCTGGTTGATGACTCCTGGAAAAGTGTTGATGAGACGTCCTATCAGAAACTCTAAGTATGAACCAATAGTGCAGGAGGTGACATTGCTGGAAGGAAACTCTGATTACGCTCATGTACGATTGCCAGATGGGCGTGAGACAACAGTGTCTACACGCAACTTAGCTCCTTGTGGAAAACAAGCTGAGAGAACAGATTTTGATGATGAATCAACACCGGAGAACCACACAATGGAACTTAATAGCGATGTAAACTTAGTAGACGAGACCCAGGATGTGTACAGAAAGTTGAGTTTTTTCAGATGTCCACACTTTTGTCATTGATGAAAATACTCTTTCAACAGATGCATTGCTCCCTGGGAGAGTCAACACATATTCCACAATTTTACTTGCGTATTCGCAGTTTATTGAGTTATCTTTAAAGTGCGTGAAGATCTTAGACCATCTTGAATCTGTTTCAACTTGTTCTTCGTTCCAATTAGCAACATTGCTTTCAACATATTTCAACACATACCCAATTTCATCGAATACTTTAGTATCACAATCTGGTGGAAAATACTTATTCTTAATTAAATAGTCAACTGACGGTTGGATGTCCTCCCACTTTGGAGTGTTCTTCAACATCACCCATTGAAATATCTCCAAGTTTTGAAAATGGACAGTCCATTGATTTAAATACTGCAGTGATGTCTCGTAAAACGAAACAAAGGTGTTAGTGATACTTTGTTTTTCTTCTTCTGAGCAACATTTCGTCATCAAATTGCGAACTATGTGTGGAACAAATTTGTTCACGGCCTTCTGTTTGAGATTTTCCTTCAAGATTTTTACTTGAACAGTTACCTCGATTGCTGAGACCTTGTCACCTTCTACATTTGAAACAGTTTGTTGAAACGTAGCTGCTTGGCTATGTATGAAATAAAGCCATACTTCTGAATGTGGGTTTCCAAAAAACTTCCTCAGGATCTCAGGACATTTCGGCTGGTTAAGAAAGTACTCTTTAAGTGGCACAAAAAGCTTCAAAATTCTTTCAACTGCTGGCATTAAAGCAAGCCAGCGAGTCTTGCTGTATCCCAACATTTTGTGGTACTCAATGTCGACCGAATCACATATTTCTTTGAAAGCTTCCACCCTTACTGTGTACAGATAGAAAAATGAATACACTTTAACGACAATAACCTCTACATCTACTGGCAAACAATCTGATGCACTTAGTATGGCGTTATGCACTATATGTGCTGCACATCCAATGCCTACAATATCTCTGCCTAAAAAACCTTTTAGTTTGAAATAAACATTTTCTTTCCCCTTTCTAGCTGCACCACCAAAATTTGTATTGGTGTTATCCCCGCTGAATGAAATTACTTTTTGTGTTAATTGATGTTCTTGCAGCACGTCCTTCAAATAATTGACAATAATATCTGATGTTTCTCCGGGGAGGGATTGCAAATCTAAAACCTTTACTTTAATGCCGCTAAATTTATCAAAATAGCGTACTACAACAGGAAACATTTTTTGTGAACCATGATTGGATGAGTCTGTCATTATACAAACATAGTTGCAACTAGTCAGATCCTTTTTAAGCTCAGCCTGAGCTAATGGGGCAATAACTTGTGTAACTATAGCCTGCGTCTTGGTCTTAGCACAGTGGAACTTTGGTTCAAAACAAGTATTTATTACCTTGGATGCGCAGTCGTTGGAGCGGAAGCTGTGGTTCTCACGTACGGTGTGGTAGGCCCAGGCACCCTCAGCCGCTGACACGTCCAGGTCTTTTTTGTTCGGGACGTTGCTTTTGAAAAATGAAGATATAGTTTTGCTCGAGCACGCAGCATGGTCAGAAGCAACATGTTTGTTTGACTTTAAGTGTTTATCAATATCATTAGCTCCTCCATGAGCAACGCTAAACTCAGTACGACACTTCTCACAGACTACATCACTTTTGTTCGTCTCAAACTTAAGTTTAATAAACGGATATTTCGATTGTAATTCACTATTAAATGTGCACTTCCGTTTGGGCATTATCTAATGCAACAGTAATTAAACCGTAGACCTACAATAGTCAAATCACAAACAAACTTGCACCGAATGTAAAGTTAGACTGTAAACAACTTGACAGTTTAGTTTACTGACAACATGCGTCTTTTGAGGCCGTAGTAGCCTACAGCGCTTCAACACTCGCGCGGAAATAAATTGTACTAGTGCCGATCGTTGCCTAGTACAGTATATTGTATAGTCGAGTTCACGCGATCGATGGATGAACGTTGAAGTGCTAATTGTACAGTTAACCAAATAGGTTAATAGGTTGGTTTCCGTCAGCTTTCCTTAAAATTACTAACTAGTATTCTTACACGAACTAAACATTAGTGTGAAAAGGCGAATTTTCATATTCCATTGAATATTTCAAACGCCTGACCTCCAAAGCGGGACATTTTGGCGTCCCCCGGCCGATTGTGGGGACAGCGGGACAACTTGTTGTAAAGCGGGACTGTCCCGCCGAAAGCGGGACTGTCCCGCCGAAAGCGGGACGTATGGCCACGTTATATATAATTCCCAGCGAGTGAATTCTCTACAATTCATAAAATAATTTTTAACAATTGCAGTGTATTTGTAAAATTTATTTTAACAATTTCTGGACAAAATTAAAATATGAAAGTACAAATTTAATTTGACACCTGTCACCTGTCATCACATCAATCAGGTCAATATGTCTGGCGCCAGGGGCCTGTCTAGACATGTGTCGCCAATCCACTCCCGCGCCGCGTTCTCTCTCTCTTGCAATACCCCCCCTCTCGACATTGAATAGAACACCTGAGACTGGTCTGTCTGCATAATTAATTGCAGTGGTGTGGACGCTTCTTCACTTGCTCGTGTGGGTTCACCGAACCTTGGCGGAGGTACCCGAAGTAGCCTTGATGTGTTGTCAGTGTCGCTGTTGATAGTGAGAAGACCGGTCGCACTCAAGGCCAGCAGCATGCCCGAGTTTACGCACAAACCTCGCACTGTCAAGTTGATGATTTTGAGAATATACATGTGAATGGATGTGGATTTGAAATAGTAATGAAGTTATACAATGGTATTGAACATTAATATAGGCTTGTATAGACCGTGGGCTGGATTTTTAGGATTGTTGGTCAAAAAATGCCCACCATGTTATTCTTATGGGGAAAAACGCCCCAAGTGCCTTCATACCATCATATTATATCTACTTCACTTGCCTTCAGGTTAGCTCGTTCGCTACGCTAACTCGCCTCCAGGTTGAAGTTCGTTCGCTACGCTCACTCACCTTTTGGTTGCAAATTAGCTGTTGTCATAAATGTAGAAGAAATAATAGTGCTGCACCCTGTTGGTAATCCTTGTAACTTTAATGCTATTGAACATCATAGAACAGAACCAAGTTGTTTAATTGAAACAGCTGTTGAGATTCATTAATTCCATTTCTCATAAGGTTAACATGGAAAACTCCAGAGCCACTGGGGCGGAGCCCAGAGGTCGGAGGGTAAAATCCTTTCTTAGTGATCGTCTACTACCCAAAAGGAAGATGCCTGCCAAGTTTCAGGTTCCTAGGTCTTATGGTTTCTGAGATTTCGTGATGAGTGAGTGAATGGTATTTGAGCTTTATATATATAGATAAAATAAATGAACTTAAATCATGTTAACATAAGAATACTACTATTTTCTTCTGTTATTTTAACCAAATAATTAATGTTTTATATTTAACATAACATAACTTGTGTTTGTGTTGACATGATTTATATTTAACATAACCTAATTTTTGTTTGTGTTGACATGATTTATAACCTAATTTGTGTTTTTGTTGACATGGTTTATATTCAACGTAACAACTTGTGTTTGTGTTAACATAATTTCTTAATTCATTAGATTTTTATTTCCTAAGTATTATATTGTTCTGTTTAGTAAAAAAGTACTGAAATTTTATGAGCATATGTTAACACGTTCGCTGCTGAGCGCTAGATGCTGGGACGGCGCCAGTTGCTGAACTACGCTCGGCCGCTGCGTGACATTGCCACCGATACACTGAATTACAGTAAAAACAACAGTAGTTATACTGGATGGCAATGTTCTGCAATAAAACTGGCTTTGGATATAGTACTAAGTGATTCTGATAGATAGCAGCACTACCCAGGTTACAGTCGGTAAAGTAGTGTCGCTATCTAGCAGGAAAGAGGTAAAACAAAGCCCTGTTCCAAACGACCCTGGTGGTGATTTGGGAAACTATATTTTTTATTGTCAGAAAAGTACGTCCCCACGAGCTGCAAAGAAATATAGAACGCTTGTGACGTGCTGGCTTATCCATAGCAACGTTAAACAACAATGAACGGTGACGTTCTGGAACGTTCTTAGCTCCTGGCGCCGTGGCCCGGCTGACGTTCCGGAACGTCCGTAGCAGCGAACGTGTTAAATAGAACACTTAAAATATACTTAATATATACCACTTTTAATATTGAAAAATAATTTAAAAAAATAAAGTAATATGACTTTATATTTCTTAAATTTTATAAAAAAAAAAACCATAGTAAAAATATCGAATTGTTTAAAAACTATGAAGTTTTTGAATATTTTACTGTAAAATTAAAAGAACTAAATATAAAACATAAATAATTTATAAATAAAAAAATTTTTAAAACAAAACGTTTTTAAATGCACTAAAAAGTAGAAAATAATTTATAAATATGTGGAGAGTATAAATACTTGTAAGATTTAAAACGAAAAACGTGAGGTGCATGCAATAGATAATTTACAATTGCCTTCACCTCTTGAACTAATGTGTATTATCAATTACATAAAATGAAACATAAAAAATTAAATGATATAATATTGCATTGTCATCCATTTGTGAGCTATGTTTCGAGTTTCAAGTCTCTAGCTCATCGGGAAGTATCAAAATTTGCAAGAAAGCGAGTTAATAAAAACAAGCCCATGGGGCGTAGCCCAAGGGAAATATGAAAATCAAATGATATAATATTGCATTGTCTTCCATTTGTGAGCTATGTTTCAAGTTGCAAGTCTCTAGCTCATCGGAAAGTTAGTATAAAATTGATTGCAAAATTTGTACCGGACAAGAAAGCGAGCTGATAAAAACGTTTTAAAAATTATTAACTTTTATAAAAGAAAATTTACATTTATATTTAGATAGTAATAAGACATATGTTTTAAATAGAGAAAATGTCTATGTAGACAATTCCTTTTCAATGTTTGACAATATCATTTACTCTATTAGATTTTAATTTTATTCTATTTTATAATTAATTAATAAAAGAACTCATTTATTCAAGTTTTTAACGTAGGTACTATTTTGTAAAAGAAATAATTGTAATACCATCAATCAATATCTAAAAGATTTTATCAAATATCGTTGGCGTCGTGACGTTGCGACAGCCCTACGACGGGGACGATTGGAGGACGAAGTATTCGACTTGTTAGAAGTGAACGTCTCTAGGGAACAGGATCTTCGATACGGAGGACGTGTCCAACCATCCCACTTGTCCCGGTTGACAGTTACTACATCCGACTCGTCTTCAGAGGTGGTGGACGTAGCGGTAGACCCGGTTAGTTTTAGGTCGTACGGATCACTGCGATACGCCCCGATTTTTAGTCGAGAGGAGGAAGCTTTTAGAGAAGGACGAGTGAAAGAAGTGAAGACTCCGGAAGTGGAAGGTGATGAGTCGCTCGCTCTATCACTTACAGCCGATGACATTATGGACGAGATCGAGGAGATGTGCAAGTCGGCCGAGAGCGCTAGTCCCTCTAATGAAGTGGTGGCTTCTCCACCCCGTAGCAGAGTCGTGAATCGTGATTCCAATGGGATCATCGATACTGTCGTACATTTCCAGTCCCGACCAATTCGAGGATTTTGATCCAATTGCACGGGGCAAACCCCGACCTCATCGAGAGGAACTCGTATCTGCGTACATGAGACCAGCTACGTCTGCCCAAGGGTCCTTGACCATTCCTGATCCCAGGAATCTCATCCGTGGTTCCGCAACCCACGGAGAAACTGAGGTCGGAAGCGAGTCCGCAAGACTTACCGGGTGCGCTTCCAGCGAGAAGATGGGACCACCTATCGTAAAAAGTTCTTAAAGGACGAGTATCGCCGAAATTAAAGAAATGTATCTTCCTAAGCAAGAAGCTATTTATGTTTGATTTTTATTTTACGAGAGGTGTTTTGGTTTCGTTAATGAGGCAGGAGGAGAGTGTTCTCCCCGTCCGAGAGTCAGATGAGTTCCGTTACTCGACCAAGTGAAGGTCGAGCGTCATGCGGGGGTACGAAGTTTTCACCTCGCACGCGATAAGACGGATTAATTTCGAGAGGACACCTGTAGGCAGGTAGTTTTTTGTTTGTTTTTTTTTCTCACCAAAGTGAAAGGGTGGCTGTAATGGTCAAATTTTGTTAGGGGTTAGTTTTAATTATTTTAAGGCCGCGAAGTGCTCGAGCGCGCTCGACAACAATGATCGGAAGTAAACATGTTCAGTTGTCCACTTGTCAAATGTCCTAGTTAGTGACTTGGCCCCCGCGACCTCGGGGCGCTGACGTTGCGGTGGTGGGGAGTAGCCGAGACCGGTGGACAGTACTAGCGTATCATTTTCCCCTTCCAGAAACTGATGAGAACCTTTTCTGCGAAAGAGTGGGGGATTGTGGGAGAGCCCCTCACGTCGATTTAAGGAAATCTTTAAATTTATTTTATAATATTTTAGTTAGAAAATTAACTTTTTAACTATAAAATTAATTTAAAAATGTTTAATTATTAAATTAAACTGTCATAACCTAACCTAACCAACCAAACTTGCTGATAATATAAAAAGATATAAAAAAATCTAATGAAGGTTTACTTATAATTAATTTTTAATTATAAAATTAATTTTAAAATTTGTTATTATAAAATTAAACTGACATAACCTAACCGAACCAAATAAACTTGCTGATAATATAAAAAATATATAAGTTAAAGTAAAAATCTATTGAAGGTTTACTAATTTTAAAAATAGTTCTGTTCATAAATAAAATTATAAATGCCTCAAATTCTAACAAAAGATGAACAGTTAAGAAGTATTCACAATCTAAGCAAAACCTTGGAAAAAAAGTTAGTGTCGCCAGCGGGATTCAAACTGGGGACCTCCAGATCACGAGTCCGAGACGCTATCAACTGCGCCACGAACACCGATGAAATCATCGTCTCGTTACGGTAATGGTGTTCCCTAAAGAGCAGAGTGACGTCCCCCCCACTCCTTCTCTAAAGAGGTTCTCATCAGTTCCTGGAAGGGGAAACCGAGACGCTATAGGTGGACAGTAGAGAATGAACAGTCCACGGCGAGCTTACGTTCGCTGAACACACTCTCCGGAGACCATACAGCGGACCTGCGGCGAGCATAATTCGTGGATGCGACTTGCAAGATAAAAAACAATAATATTAATCAAAATAAGTATCGACAGACGTAAGTACTGCAGTATACCCTTACATTATTAATCTTATTTTCCCATTTTACTTTGGCGAATAAAAGTTATTTATTAGACAAGTAATCTCTATTGTAAGAGAATTGTGTATTATATTTCCCCGGCCAGCACTCCAAATGCAGTGCCGCAGTAGCCTACATCGTTTTATTTCATTTCATCTAAACGTATTTTATTTAGTTATCTCGAAGCCAAGAAGTTCATTGGCATATTAGGTCAGATTAATTTTACTTTGTTAGTTTATTATTGTGAGTTACGACCTTTCTGTTCACTACAAGAGTATTATTTTTAGTTTTTATTTGAGAAGCGATTCCTTTTGTTAGGCCTAGAGGCTGGTCACGTATTTTAGTTCATATAGTAAGCAACGTATTTAGCGCCAATTTATTCCTAGTCAGTGCGTCGTTGTGCTGACATTGTGGCCGTGCGATCCAAGTGCACGGCATAATCATTTCATTTCTTTACGGAGCGTATTATTTTATCGAGCCTAGGTCACACATGGTTGTTAGTTATAGCTGAACTGCTTTTGGTCAGTGCGTTGTTGTGCTGGCGTACAACCATAGTTTACTCGCGCGTGTAGGACGACGAAGGTACCATCTACGAAGGCCGAAAAGGAGTAGTGAGCGACGGAGACTGTTAGCGCGAGAACCCTGGAATAGCTTGTCCGAGGGAACGGAGGTAAGTTTACTGTCGGGGAAAAAAGTTTAGACACTCGAGTTTGGAGCTCTACAGAAAAGTAACCAACTAACTTAGAAAAACACGTAGTATAAATAAATTTTCGTTGTTTTATTCTACGTATTTCTGTGAAAACAAAACAATTTTAGCTCTTTTAGGAAATTTGTTATGACAGTCGGAAGGTAAAAACTGCCTGTTTTTAGAGTACCAAAAACCATCTTATGACTTTGAAAATTCGCACAATGTAAACTAAACGGCAGAACCTTATCAAACTTTAATACAATATGGACACATATATAATGAATAAATTTGTGTAGTTTCCGAATTTTTACTCTACCCAAAAAGTTTTTGTTGTAACTTTTGTAAATCAACTTTTTCTCAAAAATGGCAAACGCTAGAAAAAAAATTAAAAGCTTGTTTTGGAGGTGATTGGTTTTGTATTTGAAATATTGAAACTGCTCAACCAGCCTGTTACGCATCTTATTTATATAAATTAACAAAAAACTGGATGATCTCGCGCCTGCAAGGGGTGCAGACGCCATCGCCCGCTCAGGAATCCAGTGCAGTGTTGCCACGATGGACCTTGACCGAGCGTTTAAGGTGATTCACGGGTGTCGTGCCAGAAGCGACCGTGCAACGCGGATTCAACTTATATTCTTAACAAAAACTAAACAGAATTTCACTATCTATAATATTAAAAGGAAACAGTGTTTTTTTATTTCACGATTCTGAATCAACCACCAACGGATTTTAATGATTTTAGTGTTGAAAGAAAGATAATTTTGAGAACTAGGGAATGTCGAAGCCATAATTTTAGTTTAGGGTCTCAGTTTTTTAGAAATTAAGTTTTAATTTTTAAAAGGTCTAGCAGCCGACGCTAAGATTCTAAACTAGCTTTTGGCATAAAATAATTTGCTTAACATAACAGCTGTAAACATTCAGCTTTTGTGTCACAAATTCAGCATTTGGATAAAAATGTAAAGACATACTTAGGGTTGACTTTTTTATACAATGTGTAATGCTAATCATTGATACGTTCAATTCTTCTGTAAGAGGATGACAGATAATTTAATATACATAGTAAAATACTAGGATGTTCAAATTATTTTTTAAAGCAATCTTTGTAATCTTCGATTTGTTTTAGAGCAATATAATTTGTTTTAACTAACAGCTGGTTATAGCCCAGTCAATAAATGTTTTTAACCGCAACTAAATGGTGGAAAGCTGGATTTTTTATATGTGATAGAACCACATGAGAGGTGTATTTTCCCAAAAGTCCCCACTTCTACCCCTTGAGCTTTCCCCCCCACCCCCCTCCAAACCTAGAAATTGCAGTGTTTTACTTAATTGGTCATAATTCGAATGCTATGTGAGCTATCGAGCTGCAATTTATTTTGTTTTATTCCTTATTAGTTTTCCTACAACTTTTGTATTTGTAACATTTTCTAAAACCAATACTTAGGGAGATATAAAATTTAAACTTCGTTTAAAGCTTAGTTTCAGAGTGCAAAATTTTGTTTTTCTCAATGTATACTATTAAATAGAAATAATACGCAAATATGGTTCAAACAAAAGTTTTAGTACGTTTTTCAAGGTTTACAAATATATTATTGGTTAGTCATCTAGGTGACCGGGTGAAGTGCTGGGTGTCGGCAAAGTGAGCGCGTGCGCGCTAGTTGAACACCTCTGCGCTGCGTCGTCGCATCTAGCCCGGCCAATACACACACAAACTGCCTTTTTTCGTAGCGAAATAGTGGAAAGCTGAATTTGTTATATGTGATAGAACCACTTAAGACGTGTATTTTCAAAAAGTTCCCGATTCTCCCCCCCCCCCCAACCCCCTCCAACCCCCTACAAACCTGGAAATTTCAGTCGTTTACTTTACTGCATATCATTCAAATTCTACGCATGCCATCGTAGTGAAATTTGGTTTGTATTATTTATAATTAGTTTATCTACAACTATTGCACTAAAGATTTTCTTATAAAACCATATCCAAAGAGATATACATTTTTTTTTATGTTTATGTTTTAGAGGTACACAATTTTGTTTTACCCTCTATATATTTTTTCAAATAAAATACGCAAAATGCGTCGGAAACAAAATTTAGTATGTTTCTTAAGGTTTATAAATATATATTTGATTATTCATCTGAAAAAAAAAAAAAAAAAAAAACTGATGTGGGCGTCGGCAAAGACAGCGCGTGTAGGCTTCTTAAAGCATCCGCGTAGCCCCGCCCGTCGATGCATAATAAGTTCTCAACTGTTTCATACAAATCCGACTTAATAATTTGTAGCCTACGTTACTAACAAAACAATCTGTTTCCACGCTAAACCGTGACTAAATGAAGCACCTCACGGTCAGTAAAAAGTTTTCGTCGACCCACTAATCCTTGATACAAACTGCGTCCTATCGTTGATATGTCCCTCTCTTCACGCTTCCCGCTAGCAAGGGTTAGCTTTCTGCTCTGCCATGAGTTGTAAGCCTATGTTAAAATAATATCACGAACAACGTAGAAAACTGGCGGGAATATTTATAAGCCACTTTTAATCATGGTAAGGAACACAAATTAAAACCAGTCAATGTTAAAACTAGTTTTTTTTTTATTAAGTCTATATATAGGAGATTTTAAAACACTTAATAAGCGCATTCATCTTTATTAGCGATGTTAAACGATTGCATAATGTCTACCACAAACCAATAAAGAACTATTATGCTGACTCATTTTTAGGATAA